CAATGCTATGAGTTGAGCTGACGTTTCCATTCTATTTCACATAGCCTTGCTTTGCCAAAAGTTGTTCTCATCCAGACAAGAGTGGACTGCAGTTTCGACCTCGCATCAACTGGTCTTATCAACACGCTCAGCGGGAGTCGAACCTTGACAGTGCAGGACGGTATCTTGACACGTTAAACACTCGGCTACACCGCCATGAGTACCATTACGCCACAGGGCATAAGTGAATTTCAAGGAAGGTCATATTCTTTTGGTGGGAGTGCCGATGAAGCAAACGTATATTTGCTATAGCAATCGACTACGTTGCTTATTTTCATATGAGAGTAGGGTGAATACATCTCATTACATTGATTTACTGGCAGTCTCGAAACCCTAATCTCATACAGATGACGTTTGCCACGAATTAACAGACGAAAAGTCGATCACAAATAGATTAGGATGCGGATCATGAGACGATAGGCAGACAACTATTTCTCCCAAATAAACTATCACAACTGTCCAAAGGCAATACCACATCTTTCGGTATTCAACGCGGCTAATCGGCGAATCCCTCCGATCCGACTTTTCAGCCTAAATGACAGTCGAATCAACATGAACTCCTTCATTATCTTGAGCTTGAGTCATGCCTGTCCCAGGGCCCTACCATTCGTTGTGAAGATCTGATTCGAGTTCGGTCAACAGGAATAGGGTCTTTCGTCACAACCGCTCTGATCGCAACCTGGCCAGGCCGATTCGGCGTCGCAAGCCTCCCTCGCGATCAGAAAGCGCCGGCTGAAGACGATCAAGTCTGCCGCAAGGTCTGTCTTGCGGTACGACCTCTCGAACTCGAAGGGTCGCCCTAGGGCTGATTCACGAGGAGATTGAATCAAATCGGCCAATTATAGACACCCTTCCCTACTCCCTTCTTTTATTTGGCTTTTGATCAACCTTCTTCGCTCGGATTCCCAACCCCCCAGTCTGCTCATATCCACCTCCCTACTGCCCACATCTCCTGGCCTGGCACACACACACACACATACACACACACGCACAAATACACTCTAGGTCACGCTGCACAGACAACGCTTATTCGAAGCACATAGACACACACACATACGAAGAAAAGTCATGCTTCCGGCCGACCTGAGGCAGACGGTCTGGTGCTAATCTTGATTGTTGATCTGCATGATCTCGTTCTCTTGTCCCGCATCAATCGTGTTAAGCGATCAGTCTGTTTTTTAAGCCCCCCCTCCTCCGTTGAACCGAACCCAAACTGGTCAGCATTTCTGCCCAATTCGACTGTATCTGCGTTTCGCAGAAGCCCACAAGCTAATTCTGTTCTAGCGCCGAGGCCGAAATGGACCCTACCAAACGGAAGGGGTGGTGGTTGTGGAGATGGGATGAAAAAGAGGTCGGTGGACAGGGCAGCCCAATCGAGCTTGTGCTCGGATCTGGGCTTTTTTATCGTCAAAGTCGGCCGTCAAGCCTGGCTACCGGACCATGATCTCGTGGGACATCTCCCGAACTGGTAGAAGCGATGGTCAAGTCAGATTATGCAGCCATTGATCGTATGCTACCAACAACAGGCCAGTTTGTGGGCTCGGGACGAGGTCGGCTCCCGCCAGGAGGCCCAAAAGTCGACGAAGGGAAAAAAATCAAAACACGATTCAATCCGCCCGGGCTTTGGTACGCAAACGTCCTGGTTGGGTCCAG